GATAGATGTGTGGAAAGAGTTATTGCCTGCAGGTATGTGTAATGATAGGTGGGGAAGACCTTGGAAGAAGGAGCAAAGGGGCCCTGCTCGGGAACAGTCAGATAAGAGACAGCAGAGCCCTCAGCTGTGTAACAGACAGGGTGAGAGGCTTAGAAGGGACCCTCCGTAGTTTCTCAAGCTTGTAAACAAGGGGGGGGGGAATCTACATCTATGGAAAGAGTTCAGAGTGTGTGCAAGGATATGGGGGGAAGACCTTGGGAGACAGAGCAAAGAAACACTGCTTAGGAAGGGTCGGATAAGAGACAGCATAGCCCTCAGCTGTGTAACAGAAGAGACCCTCCCAGGTAATTTCAGACTTGGCAAGATTCTGTAAATGTAGCTTTACATTAAAATAGAATTAACACAGCAGGTTGCGCTAATGGGAGGGAGGGGGTTTTAGCAAAACCAGCTCCCGCCTCCTCATTTGAAGGAGTCCTGAGCACAGTTCTGTAGGAGAAGAGCAGGTAGAGCTGGGGAGGGGCGGGGTCAAAGGAGTCATCAGCTTAGAATTCCTACTTCGCCACAAAGGATCCAAGTCCAGACCCCCTTGAATTCCGCTGACCCTTATCGAGCGCCAATTTAGTGCTGACCATTCATTGACTAGATTCTTGTGCGGGAGCTTGAATAAATCTACGCTGCAGTCTAGCGGGTGGTGCTGGTTGTTTGTGCCTGTCAGATTCTCCTTAAAGCAGGCTGTGTTTAAAGTTACCAAAACAATGTTTTCTTCTCCCTTCCCCTGCCCCTTCTTTGCAGACGACTCCACGGGGACCCACTCTCTGTATACCACATATCAGGACTATGAGATTATGTTCCACGTCTCCACCATGTTGCCCTACACACCAAACAACCGCCAGCAGGTGAGTAGATATAGAGTAGAGTAGAACAGAACAGAATAGAAGTAGTGGAATGGAATAGAGTAGAGTAGAGTTAGAGTTGAGTAGAATAGAATAACACAGTAGGTAGAGTAGAGTAGAGTAGAGTAGAGTAGAGTAGAGTAGAGTAGAGTAGAATAGAATAGAATAGAGAATGGATGAAAATAGAATAGAATAGAATAAGAGATAATGGAATAGAATATAATGAATAGAATAGAATAGAATAGAATAGAATAGAATAAGAGATAATGGAATAGAATTAGAATAGAATAGAATAGAATAAGAGATAATGGAATGGAATAGAATAGAATAGAATAGGAATAAAGAAAGAATAGAATAGAATAGAATAGAATAGAATAGAATAGGACATAATGGAATAGAATAGAATAGAATAGAATAGAATAGAATAGAATAGAATAGAATAGAATAGAATAGAATAAGAGAGAACGGAATAGAATAGAACAGAACAGAACAGAACAGAACAGAACAGAACAGAACAGAACAGAATAGAATAGAATAGAATAGAATAGAATAGATGTATTAAAGCAAGAATATTAAAGCAAATCATGATACAAGAAGTTATATCATAAGAATCTGAGGAAATATCTAATTGGACAGATGAGAAGGCTAATAAGTATTTCAGCCCTACTACCGTAGGTGGTTTGACATCCTCTCCCCCTTATTCTTTTCTTTCAGCTGTTGAGGAAGCGACACATTGGCAATGACATTGTCACCATCATCTTCCAAGAGCCGGGAGCCCTCCCCTTCACACCCCGCTTGGTCCGTTCCCAGTTCCAGCATGTTTTCATTGTGGTTAGAGTACACAGTTCCTCCACCGACCATACCACCTACAGGTGAGGGGGGGGGAAGGCTGACAAACCCATCCTAACTTTTCATAGTACTTCTGATTATTACAGCCCTGGAGTAAAGGTATTTTTCCTTGATTGCCCTGACATCAAAGAGTTTTAATTATGGTCTGGTCACCAAGAGGGTCCGCTGCAAACCGAGATTTTCTGACAGTGAGAACAATTAACCAGTGGAACTCCTTGCCTCCAGAAGCGGTGAATGCTCCAACACTGGAAGTCTTTAAGAAGAGACCGGACAGCCATTTGTCTGAAATGGGATAGGGCTTCCTACCTGAGCAGGGGGTTGGACTAGATGACCTCCAAGGTCCCTTCCAACTTTATTATTATTATTTGGTTTCAGTTTCAGTTAATTTTCACACTGGGAATCCTACCACGTTGCCACCAGCCAGCAGTTCCCGAAGATTAAGCAGCATGCAAGTTTGATCAATAAATTTGAAATGATGAAGACAGTTTTCGTTTCCATCACAGCCTGTTTATCCGTGTACTCAAGGTCACCTGAGTGGTGCAAATGGTTGTGGGGCCTTGGAACTGCTGAAAGGACTGTGTGTTCCACACCCATTTTTGCACTACTCAAATGACCCTGAGGACACAGATAAACCTCCAAGTGGCCTCAACGATTCTCTGAAAGAAGGCAAATGTCCAGCGGTCTGCAAGGAGTATAAATCCTTCCATTCCCCACCGTCCAGTCAGAGCTGAAGAAGCTTCTTGGAGGAGAAGTGAAACGTCTTCAAAAAAAACCCACAAGATAATCCAGTTGCCTCTTGCAAAAGCACTTTTGGGACTTCCAATGGATGCTGAATGTAGACCTGTTCTTCCCCACGTTAACGTGGCCTAGCGCAGGGGTAGGGAACCTTGGCTCTTTCATCACTTGTGGACTTCAACTCCCAGAATTCCTCAGCCAGCCTGGCTCAGCTTGGAAACCTCTCTTTTTCCCCTCAGCACGGCTGGCTCAGGAATTCTGGGAGTTGAAGTCCACGAGTCTTAAAAGAGCCAAGGTTGCCTACCCCTGGTCTAGGTCGGTCGGTCGCTCTGTCTGTCCGTCCGTCTGTCCATCTATCTATGTCAGGGATAGGCAACCTTGGCTCTTTTATGACTCCTGGACTTCAACTCCCAGAATTCCTGAGCCAGCGTGGGGGAACTATGGCCCCCTCATGACTCGTGGACTTCAACTCCCAGAATTCCTGAGCCAGCATGAGGGAAACTTTGGCCCCTTCATGACTGGTGGACTTCAACTCCCAGAATTCCTGAGCCAGCATGNNAAACCTCTTTCACTTCCTAGTGTCGAAATTCGCTTTCACATCCTGCTTTTTAATTTTTCTGGGCCTAATTAGCAGGGTAAACACAGGAACTAGAATACATCATACATTTGACCTCTCCATAACCTATTTAGAATAGAATAGAGCTAGAAGGGACCTGGGAGGTCTTCTAGTCCAGCCCCCTGCTCAAGCAGGAGAACCTCTACCATCTCAGGCATGTGACTGTCTTGACTCTTCTTAAAGACCTCCAGTGATGGAGCGCCCACAACTTCTGGAGACAAGCTGTTCCACTGGTTAATTGTCCTCGCTGTCAGGAAGTTTCTCCTTAATTCCAGGTTGTTTGATCAGTGTGATCAGTTTCCAACCATTGCTTCTTGTCCTGCCTTCAGGTGCTTTGGAGAACAGTTTGAACCTCTCGTCTTTGTGGCAGCCCCTCAAATACTGGAGTACTGCTATCATGTCTCCCCTATTTCTTCTTTTCTTTAGACTAGCCAAACCCAAATCCCGCAGCTGTTTTTCATATGTTTTCGTCTCCAGGCCTTTGATCATTTTAGTTCCTCTTCTCTGAACTTTTTCCAAGGTCTCAACATCTTTTTTGTAGTATGGTGACCAAAATTGGTTGCAGTAGAACTCTTGTACACTTCTCTGACCTGTGCCTTGTGCATCCCCCTATACCCTTTTATACCCTTACCATTGTGTCCCTGACCCACACACTCACAACTCCAGGAAGCCAGCTGTTGTATTGATTAAATGTTCTCCCTGTCATGAAATTCCTCCTTAATTCCAAGTTGCTTCTCTCCTTCATTAGTTTCCATCCATTGCTTCTTGACCTGCCCTCAGGGGCTTTGGAAAATAAATTGACCCCCCCTCTTCTTTATGGCAGCCCCTGAAATATTGGAAGACTGCTACCATGTCACCCCAGTCCTTCTTTTCATTAATCTAGACATACCCAATTCCTGCAACCGTTCTTTATATGTTTTAGCCTCCAGTCCCCTAATCGTCTTTTTTGCTCCTCTCTGCACCCTTTCTAGAGTCTCAACATAGTTTTTGTATTATGATGACCAAAACTGGACACAGTATTCCAAGTGTGCACTCAACCAGTGAAGTATAAAGAAGTGCTATCAGATCTGGTGAACTTGATATTACCCCTTCGTTGATGAAACCTAGGATGGCATTGGCTTTTTCAGCACAGGGCTGGCTCATTCTTAAAGTGGTGGTCCATTAGGACGCCATCTTATACCAGACAAAATCAAGATGGAATGATCTTGACTTGATTTCTCACACTTTGCTCTTTCCCAGGTCTAAAGAATCTGCATTGCGCAGGTAGTCCTCAACTTACAACTGTTTAGTGACCATTCAAAGTCACAACAGCACTGAGAAAAGTGATGTATGACCATTTTCCACACTTAGAATTGTTGCAGTATCCCCATAGTCACGTGATCAGAATTTGGACGCTTGGAAGCTGACTCGTATTTATGACGACGGTTGCCGTGTCCTGGGGTCATGTGATCCCCTTTTGTGACTTTCTGATGAGCAAAGTCAATGAGGAAGCCAGCTTCACTTAACAACCAGGTTACTAATTTAACAACTGCAGTGATTCGCTTAACAACTGTGGCAAGAAAGGTCATTAAATGGGGAAAAATCCACTTAACGAATGTCTTGCTTAGCAACAGAAGCTCAGTTGTGGTTGTAACCCGAGGTCTATCTGTATCTGGAGTTCCTTGCTCACACTTTGCACTTCCCCAAGGTCTGAAGAATATTTATTATATTTCATTCGCCTTTATTTTTATTTATTTTTTATTCTTCCTTTTTTCCCCCCTCCCAAACACTATAGAAGTAACTTTTTCCTTTAAACACAATTCTGAAATGGACTAAATGAGATTGTGGCTTTGGGTTCATGTGACTTACTAACAGCTTCCTGTTCATACTAATCTCTTGATCATCCTCTAACAGTTGTTTTCCTGTTGCTATTTATTTATTTTTTCACTGTGATGGGAAATGGAACCCTTTTTTAAAGAAAGAGACCATTTCATTCAATTAATTAATGACAGAAAGATCAGGGGTCTGGGATGGGGCAGGGAAATCTAAGTGTGTTATTGAGGCACTTCTGCAGATGTGTGATCTTGATGCAACCCAACCCCTTACAGATCCCACAATAAAGATTATAAAAATAACAGAATAACAGAGTTGGACCTTGGAGGTCTTCTAGTCCAACCCCCTGCTCAGGCGAGAAATCCTATCCCATTCCAGACAAATGGCTGTCCAATCTCTTATTAAAAACTTCCAACGATGAAGCACCCACAATTTCTGGTGGCAAGCCGTTCCACTGGTCAATTGTTCTCACGGTCAGGAAATGTTGCTTTCTGTCCTTGATTAGTTTCCGTCCGTTGCTTCTTGTCCTGCCCTTATGGTCTGTGGAGGATATTGGGACCCCCTCTTCTTTGCGGCAGCCCCTCAAATATCGGAGCACTGGCTATCGTGTCGCCCCTGGTTCCTTCTTTTCATTAAACTAGACTACACTACCTTTCGTTTCTTTTATGCTTTCGATAGCAAAAAAAGCCGCACATTTCTCACAGAGATTCACACCTTCGCATGTGATGTGTAGGAAAAATTTTGCACGCACGAGTTGCTCTCTCGGTTCAATGTGCTGTGGTTTTTACCATGAATCAGAAGTTCATGGGAAATGACTGTGCCTTTATTTTTGTCAAAAGGTGGTGTTTTTTTTAAAAAAAAAAACACTCTTGGGTCTCAAGTGCGCAGTTGATAAAGAGAGCTGCAGGTTCAAAACCCCTCCAGATTAAGGTTTCGATTTGCGATGACGCTTCTTCATTTGCCGAGCTGCGTTGCAGTTATTTGATTATCCTAAAAATCCTGTTTGAGAAATAAATTAGGGCTTACAAGCAGCCCTCGACTTAAACAACCGCAAGATGGTTGTTAAGTAAGTCGCAACCTGTTTTGCAGCCTTATTGCCACATTTGTTCAATGAATCACTTGCGGCTATTAAGTGAATCGTCATTTAGCGAATCAGGCTTCCTCCGTTGACTGCTTCCCCAGGTGGGAAGGACGCAAATGGGGATCATGTGACCCTGGGGCGCTGCAATCGTCATAAATGCATGCCCGTTGCCAAGTTTGGGTCATGTGACCATGAATTAACATAAATAAAAGAACCAGTTTGATCTAATGCAGGGGGTCTCCAAACGTGGCCACTTTAAGATTTGTGGACTTCAACTCCCAGAATTTTAAGACTTGTGGACTTCAACTCCCAGAATTCCCCAGCCAGCAATGCTGGCTGGGGAATTCTGGGAGTTGAAGTCCACAAGTCTTAAATTCTGGGAGTTGAAGTCCACAAGTCTTAAATTCTGGAAGTTGAAGTCCACAAGTCTTAAATTCTGGGAGTTGAAGTCCACAAGTCTTAAATTCTGGAAGTTGAAGTCCACAAGTCTTAAATTCTGGAAGTTGAAGTCCACAAGTCTTAAATTTACCAAGTTTGCAGACCCCTGGTCTAGTGGTTGAGACACCAGACTAAAAAGCAAGAGGTTGTGAGTTCAAGTCCTGCTTTTGCCATGAAATCAAGCTGGGTGACTTTGGGCCGATCCTTCTTCCTCATCCGAGCCCACCTCACAGAGTTATTGTTCTGGGCAAAATAGGAGGAAGCAGGTGTCCGGGATACTGTATATCCCCTGCTTTTGAGTTATTTACAAAAACAATAAAGGCGGGATATAAATAAATCAAATGAAAATTAGAACTCTATGAAAACTTAATTGGGTTCCGCGAGCGATTAAGGGGGGGGAAATGTTTTGCATGCCGCCCATTTCCTATCCGAATTTCGCATCTTGTCTGTGGTTCTTTTTTTTTAATAGTTTCAGTGGCCTGAGAAAGTTCCGGCGTCCTCTGATCTTTTTGCTTCCATTACGCACAGAAACGATTGATTTGGGGGTTTTGAGACTTCAGTGTGCAGGGTTGAGTTGCAGCGCGTGTTTTTTTGCAGCGGAAAAAAAAATTAAGGTTCAAACCAAACCAGGCCACAACTGAAAAGGCCTGAAGTGCCTCGTTCTGGGTCAGCCAAAAGCTCGTGGCGCTTTTTAACATGGCCAGACGTTTTATGAAAAGTGCATTTATGTCCTAAATACATTGAATTGCTGTATTTCTTTTGAGTGAGAAAAGCTGTGTTTTGGAAAATACTCGTATTTTCCCTCTGTGGTCATTTCGTGCATGAAAGGAGCTCTTTGTATAGATCATAGCAGAAGGGAATTTCTTAAAAGCCCTTTTTCCCCCCAAATGTGTCTGTTCTTAAGAATGCTTTCTTAATGTGGACTAGAAATCCTTTCATGCGTGTACAGGCCTGGAGAAGCATCCTTGATTCTCTTACAAAAGTAATGGCGAATTGATCGACAATATTCGCTTTGTGTTATTTCTTTAGATCTTCTTTAAACAAAGAACTGCCCTACCTCCATCACTGGAGTTTTTCAAGAAGAGATTGGACAACCATTTAACAGGATTACAGAGTTGGAAGGGACCTTGGAGGTCTTCTAGTCCAACCCCTTGCTCAAGCAGGACAACCGGTACCATTTCAGACCTATGGATGTTGAGTCTCTTAAAAACCTCCAGTGATGGAGCATGCACAACTTCGGAAGGCAAGATGTTCCACTGGTTAATTGTTCTCACTGTTAGGAAATTTTTCCGTAGTTTAGGACGTTTCTCCTTACTTTGCCCAGGATGGTATAATCACTCCTGCCTTGGGCAAGGGGGTTGGACTAGAAGATCTCCAGGTGCCTTCTGCAGCTGCCAAAAAAAGCAATGCAATTCTAGGCTGCATTAACAGAGGGACAGAATCAAGATCACGTGGTGTGTTAATACCACTTTACAAGGCCTTGGTGAGGCCACACGTGGAATATTGTATCTGGTTTTGGTCTCCACGATGTAAAAAAGATGTTGAGACATTGGAAAGAGTACAGAGAAGAGCAACAAAGATGATTAGGGGGCTGGAGGCTAAAACATACGAAGAACGGTTGCTGGAACTGGATATGTCTAGTCTAGTGAAAAGGACCAGGGGTGATATGATGGCAGAATTACAGTTTTTGAGGGGCTACCACAAAGAAGGGGGGGGTCAACTTATTCTCCAAAGCACCTGACGGCAGGACAAGAAACAATGGATGGTAACCAATCAAGGAGAGAAACAACCTGGAATTAAGGAGAAACTTCCTGACAGTGAGAATAATTGATCAGTGGAACGGCTTGCCTCCAGAAGTTGTGGGTGGTTCATCATTGAAGGATTTTAAGAAGAGACTGGATAGCCACTTGTCTGAAATGGATAGGGTTTCCTGCTTGAGCAGGGGGTTGGACTAGAAGACCTCCAAGGTCTCTTCCAATCTATTATTCTACATTCTAAGGGTCCAGCCAGCGAAATCAAACCAATCAAAATCAAACCAAAGGCAATCAAAAAAAATTTTAAAGCCTCACATTTGGCTTTTGCAGAGTGTCTGTTCCTGCAGGCCACTAGGGGGCACTGCAGGAACGGCCATGAAATTCCACCAGGCACTGCTCTTTGTTATTCCTTTTTGTCCCTTTACTTTTGTGTGTACCTGTCCTCTACACACACACACACACACACACACACACACACCTAGATTCCAGACCTTTGCACAAAATATTTGAGTCTTTGGGGTAATTATTTAAAGCCCCCATAGTAATTGAGGAAAATTCTAATGGCAGCTAGTGCTTTGACTTACAGCCATTCGTTTAGTAACTGTTCAAAGTTGCAGTGGTGCTCAGACCTGTAGCCAGTCCTCGTACTTATGACCCTCGCCACAGCCCCGCGGTCAGGTAATCAAAATTCAGGTTTTTTTTTTGTTTTTTGTTTTGTCAACCAGTGTGTATTTACGAGAGTTGCAGAATTCCCAAGGTCAGCTGATCGCCATTTGTGGCCTTCCCACCCGGCTTCTATTCTATTCTATTCTATTCTATTCTAATTACCCTATTCTATTCTAATTTCCCTATTCTATTCTATTCTATTCTAATTTCCCTATTCTATTCTATTCTATTCTAATTACCCTATTCTATTCTATTCTATTCTATTCTATTCTATTCTATTCTAATTACCCTATTCTATTCTAATTTCCCTATTCTATTCTATTCTATTCTATTCTATTCTAATTTCCCTATTCTATTCTATTCTATTCTAATTACCCTATTCTATTCTATTCTATTCTATTCTATTCTATTCTATTCTATTCTATTCTATTCTATTCTTATTGTTCTGTTCTATTCTACTGTATTCTACTCTATACTCTATTCTATTCCGTTCTGTTCTGTTCTACTCTGTTATTATTATTATTGTATTGTACTCTACTCCACTCTAAATTTACCCCAGGCAATGTCTGCCTCAGTGTTTCCATCTGTACAATAGGCACTAATACCCCGGAGGTCATAACTTAATCCAGGGGTCCTCAAACTTGGCCCTTTTATGACTTGTGGACTTCAACTCCCAGAATTCCTCAGCCAGGTACGCGTGCCTGGCTGAGGAATTCTGGGAGTTGAAGTCCACAAGTCATAAAAGGGCCAAGTGTGAAGACCCCTGACTTAATCTGTGTGGTTTTGATCATTGTGAGCTGGAACTCAAACGGCTCTCAACGTGGCGGTGTTACAATCCCCCGGAGAGGCCGTAAGCAGACACATCTTCCTTCTCTCCGTCCAGCGTGGCTGTCAGCTGCACCGAGGACATCCCGCACTTCGGCCCTTCCATTCCCGCCGAGAACTGTTTCCTGAAGGGCCCAGCTTTCCGGGACCTCCTGCTCGCCAAGGTGATCAACGCGGAAAACGCCGCCGAACGCTCGGGCAAGTTCCACGCCATGGCCACCCGGACGCGCCAGGAGTACCTCCGCGACTTGGCCCTCAACCACGTCACCACCAGCACCTTGGAGTCCTCCACCTCCCGCCGGCCGCTGATCACGTTGCCGGCGGCCAAGAAGCGAGAAAAGTCCAAGGTTCCCAAGGGGGCCGAGGCCCACAGCGCAGGGGCTTTGGTGTGGGGCGTCTGGGCCCGGGACGGGAGCAAAGAACCCAACAGCAAGACGTTGGAGCTCCGGTGCCTGCTGGGCATCTCGTCGGAGTTTCTAGTCCTCATTGAGGCCCGCGAGAAGAGAGTGGTTTTCAACTGCTCGTGCCGGGACGTCCTAGCTTGGACCTTTTTGGAGAGTTGCACCTTGGACCTTTATTACGAGACCGGGGATTACATTTGCATGCGTGTGGACGAGGGTCAAGCGTCCGACATTCGGGATATCGTCCATCGGCTTCAAGTAGGATTTTTCGCTCCTTTCCCTCTTTTTCCTGGAATTCTTATTGCGAGTGCACAATGTCCGAAATGGTGTAGGGTTTCCTACCTGAGCAGGGGGTTGGACTAGATGACCTCCAAGGTCCCTTCTGTTTTGATGTTTTTGCTTTTGCATTTGGCATCTGGGAGAGAACCTCTGGCAGAAAAGAGCCATGCAAATGTTTAAAACGCAAAGATTTATGTGTTCCCACTTTTGTTACTTTTAATCAGGCCAGTGTACATATTTCCCTCACCACAACAGCTCTGTGAAGAGTTGAGTGGCCTCAGAGATGAATGGTCTCTAAAGCAATCAATCTCGGCAACGTTATGTTGTGTGGACTTCGACTCCCAGAATTCCCTAGCCAGCCTTGCTGCCTTGGGAACTCTGGGAGTTGAAGTCCACGCAAGATAAAGTCTTGCGATATGTGGATTTCAACTCTCTTGCCAGCTGGGGGATTCTGGGAGTTGAAGTCCACGCAAGATAAAGTCTTGCAACATGTGGATTTCAACTTTCTTGCCGGCTGGGGGATTCTGGGAGTTGAAGTCCACGCTTTGCCGAGATTGAGAAACACTGGCCTAAAGGCACCTCAGGGGCTTCTTTATCTAAGGGAGGGCTAGAACTCAGAGCCTCCCACTTCTTAGTCCAACTCGCTCACTGCCATGCCCAACGGTCTCAAGAGCCACAGACCCATTTGCCAAAAGGTTTTGTGCCATCCCTGAAAATCACTCATCTTTTCTCCTTCCCCCCCCCGCCGCTTTCTTCCGGCAGTTGGTGACCCGCGGGTGCGAGACGCGGGAACTGACCCTCTTACGGAACGGCGTCGGCCAGCTGGGCTTCCAAATGGACCACGAAGGGTTTGTAACCGAAGTGGAACGCTTCACCTTTGCGGAAAAAGCCGGGCTCCAGCCAGGGGCCCGCCTGGTCCGTGTGTGCGAGAGGCCCTTGCCCGGCCTGACGCCCCCCCAGACCGCCGAACTCCTCCGCACGGCGAAAAAAGTCACCATCACGGTCGTTCCTCCGGACGAGAACGGAAGACCCAGAAGGTGAGCAGATCCGTGTCAGTCGTATGCCCGGGGCGCTCCTGGGCACTTCTCCTGTGTTCACCTTGCTCTGGTGTTTCCTTCATTGGGCATCTTGCAATTCTGCGGGACGACGATTCAGATAGTCAAGACTACAGAACCCATCCTGCCCAGCTTGCCTGTGGGTGTTAAATTTATCTCCCCCCCCCCAAGCTGGAGAAGTTTATAATCTTTGCCGAATGACAGGAATCTGTCTTCGCAAGAAGGTTTGGGAGCTTCCCACACTGATAACGTATCAAATGGGATCAGGTTTTTCACTGGCTTTAAATTGGCTTACCTCGATCAGGGTGGATTTTTTTTCCAAAAGAAAGACTTCTGGACTTTTATCTTGGCTATTGTCGCTCTGAGCATCATAATTCTGGCACTCTGAGCTTGTTGTTGTTTCCTTGTGGACATTTCATTACCAAGCTAAGTAACATCATCAGTGCACTGATGGGTACTTTGGGTGATGAAATGTCTGTAACAAAACAACCAAACTCAGAGAGCACCAAGGGCCCACAGTCATTGTCCTCCTCCTCCTCCTCCTCCTCCTCCTCCTCCTCCTAACTCCACTCCCTTCTACCACTGATGATGTTACCTAGTTGGGTCATGTAAGAAAACCAGCAAGCTCAGAGAGCACCAAGGGCCGCACAGTCGTTCTCC